GGAAAGAATAGCCACCATATACTCATTTCCTAGACTGAAACATGACTGATATTGTGCCTTGTTTGTTCTGCATGTATGTGTGTATTGCTGATACACATACATCCACACTAACGATTGCTAGACATTTAAGAATGATTCCAGGAAGCCTAAATCACTCCTATGTTTGACAGAGCCATCGCTAGTTTCCATCTGTCATCTCGTGTCTGTGGTGCCATCTGAGGTCAGGGATGCAGAGTGATGGAAGAACCATTTGCTCAGTGAAATGCTTTGACTCCTCATTCTAGGATTCCAAGCTACAGGTGAAAATGAGGAAGAGATATGCTTACAAGAAGGAAAGAACCTGACCGTGACCTGTCCTTACAACATCATGAAATACGCCTCCAGTCGGAAGGCCTGGCAGAGGGTGAGGAGCCAAAGTGCCCCAGAAACCCTGGTGCGCACAGAGACTAGGAACCAGTACCTAAACCGGGCCCAGGTTGGGAGGTATCTGCTGGAGGATTATCCCACTGAAGCCGTAATCAGGGTCACAGTGACAGAGCTCCAGAGGCAGGACCTGGGACTGTACCAGTGTGTGGTCTTACTCATGGACCCCTTCATCCTGCACCATCGGATTCGGCTGATTGACTGCAAAGGTGAGCAGCGGCCAAGACCCTGGTCAAGATCTCCTTGGGTACAACCAATGGGCTGGGACTCCATCTTCCATGAGGAGCTGCTTTGGAGAGAGAGTGCAGAATAATGCAAAAAGTTCTAGATCCAAAATCAGATCATCCAGGTCTTCCACTCTCTCGGTTTGTGACTGAGCAAGTCGTAGGTCCTGCTCTGGGTTTCAGTTTTCTCACCTGTAAGCTGAGGAAGTTGAACTAGGGAATCTCGAACATTGTCTTGCTCTGTGGCAGATAACTTGCCAACAGAACCAAATAGCTGAACATCGGCCATGTGTCGAACATTTAACTTGTTAATCTCTACCCTGAAATTAATACTGCTGTCTCTTCTGTACAAGGGAAGCCTCAAGGAAGCTAAGTTACTGTGTCATTCAGCAGATAAGTGATGCAGCTTCGGTTCCGTAGAGACCCCTAAGATTTGATTTGATTTTCCCTGGTGAATCTGTGACAAACCCAATTTAGTCAACAAAAACTTGTCCACTTCTCAAGGGATTAAGAAGTGCTAGATGAGGAACAGATAGCAAAATGAAGGGCTCTTTACTGACCTTTGATTGCTCCTTGTTGGTGGGGGCACGGCCAGTGTCCCTTCCTCCTTATTAAAAGGCAGGTCTACACACGTGCAGAGGTGGAACTGGGAAAGTGGAGCCCAATGCTTTTGCTCGTGCTTGTCAATAAACATTCCCCTTTCAAACTGGTCAGTTTTGGAGGCCTCTACTACCACAGGGCGTTGCTCTTCAGCCAACCTGGATATGTGCTAATCTGAATACAGGAATATCAAGACAGGGCTGGGCTGAAATTAAACTTCGTAAGATTTCAAAGTAAAGAGCTGACCAAGAAAAAAGACAGTGGTATAAGCAGGATTGTGGGACTCTATCGAACTCATATAATAGAGTAAAACAAATCCTCACTACTTGAGAAATAGCCGGTGATACTCAGTAATTAGCAGTCTGGAAGTAAGAGTCCATCCGAAGGCAACAGAAGGTTCTGGATTCTCAATCCCATGATGCCGTGACATACTCAGTGACCTTGGGCAAAACCTCACCCTTTTCTAGGCCCCCAGAAAACTTCTATCAGTGGAGCTTCAATAGCTTCAATGTTTTGAGTCCCTATATATTATTGAGTTCAGAGAAATAAAGGCCTTATATAAGAAGACTTAGAAAAGTCCATGGAGACATGGGATTAATATATTATAATTAATATATGAATTAATATATTCTGGTGCAAAAAAAATTCAAGCATAGTTTTTTCATAACATGCATTTTCCATGAGCTTTTTGAAGCCCCCCCCCCCCATATTTTACACTTGGCAAAGTTGGCCCACACTGACTACCAGTGGATGGCCTAGGCCGACCCACAGAGGGAAACCAACATAATGTGATGATATTTGGAGGTGATGGATTTGTCTACCAAACCTCACTGCAGGATGTGAGGCCTGGGATAGGAACTTAAGGGGAACCAAAGGTGGGCTGCAAAGGCCTCTCTAATGAACAGACTCCAGAATGTGCGACTACTATGGGCTGGGTGGAGAAGGTGGTAAGAGCTGAGGAATTAGGCCAGACCCACTGAACAGGCTCTGAAGGCTGATGTCTATAGGATGTCACAGAGGCAGAAGAGATAGGAGACCTGGGTTCTGGGGCCAGAGCTGGTACTGTCCTCTGTGACCTTGAGCACTCCCTGTCCACCTGTCTTTGGGAAGTTGGCCTGGATGGTGTTGAACACTTCTTCCAACTTTGACCTCTTGGACCCTGTGAACCTTTCTCCCCCAACCAGAGTATAGTCCCATGGCAATGAACTTGGAAGAGAATTGCTCAGCCTATAGAAGAAGACACACCCTCCCTGGCTGAGTGGAAAGCAGAAATGGGTAAGGTTAAAGCAGGATTGCAGAGAGCCTTGAAGGTCATGCAGTCCTGTGCACTTGGTGCTGTGGACTATAGGGAGCATTAAGGCTACCCCTGGGCCCCTTGGTGGAAGACTGAGGGGCTCAGGGCAGAGGGGTTGAGGCAGATTGCCCCAGCAGCCCTGTGCAGGGGGGTGGGGTAGACAGGAGACTAGTTAGAATTCTTTGAGATATAAACAGGGATTGAGGATCAAGGGAAAAGTCAAGGCCCATCTTCAAAGGTTACAACCCCCCTGCCTCCCCCCCCTACCCTGACTGTTCTCACCTCCAGGAGGTAGGGAGTGGAACATCCATCAGACACCCCTTCTTTTGGGTTCAGGAATGTCAAACCTAGGAATACTTGCCTTTGACCTGGCAGACCTGCCGCTGTTGGCTGTTGGACTCATCCTGAACAAGGGCCTGGTGTTCTCAGTCCTGTTTGCCCTGCTCTGCAAACACCGAGCCACAGGTGAGTGGGGGCTGGGGCCAGGTTTGAGGTGTAAATGAATTAGGGCACAAGGGCAACTGCAGCATCTGCTGGTTAACAGAAAATCCTGGGGGGTCCTCAGAGCATGTCTTCTGACTTCTCCTCACTTCCTTCTCAGAAAGTCTTTGGACAGGGGGCAGAGCCAGGCTCTGGGCCAGCACAGGGTGTGGGCTCATACGCTGAGAACAGTGTGAACTGGGATAGGTTGGGCTCCTCTGGGCAGGGTCCCGCTGCTTAGCAATCCCAGCTGTTCTTTGGAGGAGGGAAGGTCGGTGCAAGCCTGGATTGGCTTAGGAGGTCCCCTTTCAAATATTGTCTGTTTCTTCCACTCCCCAGACAAGGCAGCCTCTTGACGTGTTCCCAGGACAAGGCAAACTCTGGGAAACAACCGACAGACTGTCCCTTCAAGGAGTCGCTGCCATGCCTTCCTCCTCTGACAAGAATACATCTCATGTTTGTCCAGTGGGGAATAAAAGGTTTCCCAAACTGCTCTTGTGAGTTCTCTGCCCAGTCCCTCTCTGACCCAGAGTGAGAAAAACAGTAAGGAGAAGGAAAGCATAGATTGCTGGGGGGGGGAGGGGGGAGAGCCTTTGGGCATCACCAGAGAGTCATCAGAATGGTATTAAATAGGACAGCTGGGACTCACAGAGAGCACCAAAGGCCTTATATTCATTCCCCTATTGCTGCCATCCAGACTCCCTCTGCTGGGGAAGAACCGTGGCAGTAGTCAGTACATTGACTGGAACATGTTATGTATCACACGGAAGGCAAAGAGGAAAAAAAGAAATTATACAGATGCAAAGAATGTATTTCTATTTCTTCCCCTGTCCCAGAATTATGGTACTTTTCTTAGAAACTCTTACGTTTAAGCTAATGACTCCTACTGACCACTCGTCTTCTTTCATCTATTCCTGAGACACCTGCATGATCTCTACTGGCTCAGCGACACTTGGAAAATCATCCTTCATGGCAGTCACATAGTGAAAATAGTTCTACCCTAGCATCCTGTAAACTGAGAGCCTTCGAAGCCTTGTAAAATCAGAAGTGATTACTTTTAGAACCGAGAGCAGGTCATTTTGGGGTAGGGACTGTCTTCAAGAACCAGTCCTCTTGGGATTTAGAGAAAAGCAGTCATGTCATTCTAACTCCTTTGCCCGCACAGTTGTCTAGAGTCCTTTGCCAGTTCATAACTGTCCACTTTGCCGAGTCCAGCTCAGTTACCGGCAAATATCCATGCCCGTGTCCTGCACCCAGCTCCCCTGCCCAAGTGTTCCTCTACTCGCACAGACTGAGGAGAGACCAGGACCCTTGGCATCAGAAGGCCAGGTGGGGAACCCCCTCACACACTCACCCTAAGAGGGTAGAGGAAGTTTTCCACCTCATCATCCCCATCGTTCATCCAAATGGACTGGACTTGCAGACCCAAGGACAAGAGGTTATTAGAAGAGACTCAGGGAGAAAAGGAGAAAAGGACTGAGGCAACCACAATAGAAACGCTTTCTTTGAGAAAGGAAAATAAAATACAAGAAATGTGATTTTCCTGTTAGGAGGAAACTATCAACCAAACTACTCAGGTGTAAAAACACATTGTGCTATAAAATGTTTTAATCTGCGTTAATAAGAAGCTAAATTTATAACAAGGAACTGAAAGCTTTGTTAGCCAACCGGTTATATTGAGACAAACTGTAAACATCATTGTCCTGTGTTCTCTGTCTCCCTGTCTAACGTGGTAGCCACAAGTCAAGTGTGGTAATTGGGCATTTGACATGTGACAAGGGCAATTAAGGGATTGCATCTTTATTTTTCCATTAAACGTAAGTTAATTTAAAAGTCAGTAGCCACCTGCGCTAGTGGTTGCCATACTGAACAGCACAGCTCTAGCTGACTGATGAATTTAATGAATTAGTTCAGAGAAAGTTTTGCTACAGGGTGCGTGTGGCTTGCCAGAGGGACAGATAGAGACAGAGAGACAGAAAGCAAGAAATCACCTCCCAGCACGAGGGCCATAGTGTAATCCCTTCTCCTCCACTCTCCTCTCAGGATTTTGGACATGCACGCACATGCACCCAGTATGAGTTTCAAGCATCCGAGACAGAGACTTGAACTACAGTTGGCCATGTGGAGTCCAGCGATGTGACCACTACGTCATTTGTTGATCTCAATTGACTATTGATTTTAACAAGGCCTCTCTCCCCCCATAAGGGATAAATTTCTTTGTTGTCATGTGTTTTTACTATAATTCTGTAACACTAATAGAAGATACTGTATTGAGAATATCTTTGCACATTATCTTAAAGACCAAGTTCAAAACATTATTGTGCTCCAAACTGAGAAGGATATACTAAACAAGACCTCATATGGGGCCAGCAGGTGGCATGGTGGTTAATGCACTGGACTCCCACATGGCTAACCATGGTTCAAGTCCTGGACCTGGTGGCTTGCTTTCTCACTATCCCTCCCCCCTCTCTCTCTGTCTCTCTCTGGTCAAATTGAAAAATAATAATAAATAAGACCTCGTACACATTGAGAATTAAGTTTCAACACACAAATTTGGAGGGAACACCAACATTCAGACTCTAGCAGGATCCTTACACATGGAAGATTATTCTATTCTTCCCCAGTTATTTACTTGCTCATTTATTTATATTGATATGGACACAGAGATATTTATTTTATTGTTTGGCTTATAATCCAACACCACATTATTTTGTTGCTATCAATATATTTTTTCAACTTTGGCCAGTTTTTCCCCCACACATTTTTATACACACATTGTTAAAATGACTGACAGGACTTTTCCTTTTCATCTTTTCACCCATCATATATTTATCCAGCAATCACAGATGGAAGTGATCGTGAGTTCTCCTCCTTCCTTTGGGCCCCTAACTGATCTATCTCCTGCCTCCTTTCTGGTAATTCCTGATCAGTGCGTTCTTTCCTCCCAGTTGTCCTGGCCCCACCTTTCCCAGGGAGCATCCTGATAGTTCCCGGAATTGAAATATGTCCCCTCCCCCAAAAAAGACTTCCCAACTTCTTAGGGTGAAAATACATCACTGACCCACCCTATCTGGCATTAAGGTTCCTGACTTGACCTGGGGATTTTTTTTAAAATTTTTTATTTACTTATTTTTTTGGAGAGGTTTTTGCTATAGGGCGTGTGTGCGCACCAGAGACACAGAAAAAGAGAGAGACAGAAAGTGAGAAATCAACCCCCCCCAAGGGGGATGGCCACGCCACAATCTCTTCTCCTCCATTCTCCTCTCAGGATCCTAGGCATGCATGCACACGTGCCTGGCATGAGTTTAAGCCACCGGGTCTCTTCCACTCCACCCATGGAGCCCATCTTCCTAGGTGATTTGTTTCCCTCATCAAGGTGTTGGCCTTTCTTGGTTCTCCCAACTTGGAGGTGCTGGGCATCTTGGGCAGAGTCAGGCCCAGTTTCTGACCCTCTCTCCTGAGACCTCTCCTTCTCTTTCCTCCTCCAGGAGTAGCCTGGCCTGGCTGGGGGTGGAGGGCCTTGCCCGCTGCTACCCCCTGTGCTGCTGGTGCTCCCGGACTGTGTGAGATGGAGAAGTGGATGGCAGGGCCATGTGAAGAGTGGGATGAAAGATGAGGTGGCCTGGGAAGCAGGGTGTGGGCACTGGAAGTTGTCCTGTCTCCCCTCTCCCCAGCCCTGTGAGAGGGGTAATTGGGTCCTTCTAGGATTCTGACCTGAGGGTCCATTATCCAGGTAGTTGTGCCCCCAAAAACTCCATAAAGTGACCAAAGAGACATTCTCTGTGATGTCAGTACCTACCTGAGAGTGGGCATTGGGAGAGGAAAACCTGGGGGTGGCAGATGTCGCCAGCTAAGTATACAAGGTTAGTACCAGCTCCAAGCTAAGGACAGCAGTTCAGAGAGTCAGCTGTTCACCGATTTCTTTACCATCACCACTGTTTAGCTGAGAGAGAGGACTCAGGACCCTACTGGTGCAGAGGCTACAATTCTCCCTGCAACATGGTCACTGTCCTCAGAAACCTCCGCTGGATGATATTTCCAAGTGAACTCTTCTCCTGGGTAGATGTCCCATCCCCTCCTAGGAGCCTGGGGGGAAATAGAACTCATCCATGTGCCATGCCTCCATCACCCCCAATCCTGCTGGGATTTTTGCTTTGATCCAAGGGGATTGAGAACCCCTGTCCCCCATAGACAGGCTTTCATTGCTGCCTTGTCCTGCCAGTACTGGACCCAGCTGATGGGAAGCTCTGTCCAGGGGTCATTGGACAGAAGCCTAGATATCCCTTCAGCCCCTACTTTCTTGCAGTGCGTTGAGGCCAGACCCCATCCTGTCTTCTGGACCCCTGGACAGTCATTGTCTACTCTCTCTTTTCTTTAGCAATGACCACTCCTCCTATGTAAACTCCTACCTGCTTCACAGAAAAGACAGGGAGATTTGAAGTACCAATGTGAGACAAGGCAGTTTGGAGAGCCTCGGATATAGGGAAGGAGGGACCAGGGAGCTTGTCTCTAAGGGTTGATCACCTAGGGCCTGCGCTGGTGGGGAGCTACATGCATGATTTGCTGGGCTTAAGACAAAGGGAGATAAATATCTATCTGATCTAATGGCAAAAATGGCCAAGTTCCCGTAAGGATGCACTGGGTTTCCCCAAAAGAAAGCCTGTAGTGAAAGACCCTGGTTTTCATGTCTCAGTTCTGTCCCTTGCTTCTCTAGCTTGAGGAGAGACTCCTCTCCAGAGACAGACTTCCGCTGCTTATAAAGATCTCAGGTCTCAGTTACCCCTGGCCTGAGGGACTGTAAGAAACTCCCTATATCCCCTCTTTATCTCCTTTTGTGGTTTTTAGGACCCAATATTATTTTCTATTCTGGCTCCTGGGAGCCACTGTCTTCTTTGTGTCCTCCTTAGCTCTGATCACTTCTCCAGAGAGCACTTTCCACCTCCTTCCATCAATGGCTCTGTGCACAGGGAGGTCAGGGTCTCACTGGGAGGGAGGGTCCTGAGAAAGGATGATCAGACAGCTCATGCTGTCTCAGAATCAGGGAAAGGGGACCCAAGGAGATTTTTCAAGAAGTTTGGAGCACAGAGTACTGCAGAGAAGTCCCCAGGGCTCAGACACAAAACTGAGTAGAGAGAAAGGAGGAGGAGGCTGCAGGTCATTAACTCTGGAGGAACTATAGAAAGGGCAGTTAAACATGGAGTTTTGGAATGAGACCAAGTGAAACCTCAGAAGTGTTGGAACTAGGAGCTATGCTGGTGTAAGTTGAAAGGTGGATGCGGTGAAAATGAACAATCTGGGACAGATGGTGACTGCAGACATCAGCAAAGGGAGAGAGGAGTACCTTTAGCTTATGCTCTTTACCTGAGAAGTCATTGGATTTGAGATCATCATGTTCTTCCCTTCACCAAGAAATAGGCTGCAATTGTCCAGGCCACGTGTGATCTAGGTTACCAGGTGCTCCATGAGGTACAGCAAAATCAGTGAGGGAC